ATGTTTGTGCGGAAAACGTTATGACGAGTTGGAATCCAGGTTCGGATTACACGTAGGAAAAAACCGAGAAAATCTGAAAATGACGGAAGTATTTAAACGAATTTTGTAAGAAATTTAAAAAAAAATTCAGAAATAATTAAAATCATAATTTAAAAAAATACATGTAGATTAAAGAAAGTTTTTTTTTTATATCATTTTACATGTATACTAGAGCTATTCGTTTGATTTACTTAAATTTTAACAATGGGAAACATACATGTATATATCTATAGTGAGAAGTGGGAGGAGAGTCCTCCTGATCTTCGTTTCACTTCCGTTCCATTCCGACCCTGAACACGTTTATGTACGTGTGTTTCTCGTACAGTCTTCCTAGTTGGAAATGTCTGATCGTAATCGGTTTCATTCAGAAAAACCCCTGCTGCCTTTAAAAAGGCATTGTAATTCTCTGCGCCTTGTACAAAAAAAAAGTGTATTCCCGATGAATCTTATCTTGAGAAATATATTCTTCCGAATTGCTCAGATATTTCAAAATTAAAATTGTTCAGAGGCTCAAATTTTATTGCGTCGATATTCTTTCATCTATCAATTTCTTGCGTCAACAATTCAATTTTTATGGAATTTATTTTTATTAAATTTAAAAGGGATTAGTTTATCATAAGTTCTACTTTAATTGTCTTCAAGAATTGCTAATTCACATATATTTGTTTATGTGCGATTGTTAGATAGGTCGAAACTGACATCAATTGAATCTAATGAGCAATTAAGTGTGTTACAAAGAACTAGAAATTAAGCGTATTACGTTTAAGAGTGCGCTTGCACCTAACTTCAACTATATTAGATTATGATATCAGAAGTGCAGAACCGTACAAATATTTCTTTCCTTCATCAAAAATCTGTATACATCAACCAAAATTAACATCCTTCTATGTCATCATTCGTGTTCGATGATAAAATTTATCCAAAATTTTTTTTACATTCGTTATTATAACTCCATTCTACACGCGTATCTCATGCTAAACATGCTTATATAAGATTTAATTATTTATTAATTCGTGTATTGAATGGGAGAAATAAAACGTCGCAACGATGTCACATTACGACACGTTGGCTAATTGTCAAACAAACGTATTCTCTGAAGTAATGTAATTTGCTCTAATTTTTTGCAAGACCCCGTTAACACGGAATTAATAATGTTAATTTAATTCCTGTTCTTACCTCATTATTGTCGCAGCAAACAAGATATTTAATTTTTCCTGCGAACTGGAAATTTCTTCACCAGAAGCTTTTAACTATTTACAAGACGTTAACAAATAACAGAAAAGCTTCTTAATGAAAGTAGATTACATTGTTATATTTCTATATATTCTTATTTTATTAAAATAAAAACATAGGAATTTGTTACGGAGAGAAAGAACATCATTTTTTCTCTGAATAAATTGTAGCTATTAGATTTTACAAAAGACGTATGTTTCTCTACTGAAAAATAAAATTATATTAAATTATGAATAAAACGTTTACTTAAGTTAAATATTAAATTCAATTATGGAAGGTGCAAAATTGTGATGAAGGTGTAAAATTGGGAAATTTATTAAATTTTAATACATTTCACTTGTCCTGAATGGGGCTGATCCAATTATTGTCTTAAATTTAACAAAAATATATTAAAAAGTAATACAAATATCACATGAAAAATTAACACAAAACATATACTGCCAATTTGGAAGCATGTTCAAACATTGTTCAGTAAAATTAACATTTGTAACACACATATTAAATTAATATTTTATTTGTACCTTTTATTTATTTATCTTAGAATTTGTTTTAAAATATATTATTTTTATGTGGTTTATTTATAAATTGTGTATTATTTTAACATTGAGAAATGAATATAATTTAATAGGGTACAAAATATTTAAATAACATTATATTAAATTAACTCGGATATAATAAAAATGTAATACAAGAATTTGGATAAGGACGATTTTTATCACAAATACAAAATATCTTTTACTGTGAAACTTCTTTGCTAAGTCTAATCTTACCTGAAGATAAATCATCATGATTACTAAGCATCAGTTTATTATGACAATTTTTGTTGATAAGGGACGTTTTACAAATATAACAGCGCCTTGTAATGAAACTTATCTGCTATTGCATTTTTTCGCATCGCCGTTAATGATTTTTATCTATTTGTAGTAGTGATAACATTCACATGAACATTCATATTCTCATTTACATGAGTGTTTACACATCCATACGCACTTTTGGATCTTGGGAAATCCCAGTCGAATCAGCACAATGTTTATCCGCAATGGGACTGCAGCTTTTACCGTTATTGGAAAAAGATTGAAGAGAAACATTCGTTCTTACAAATTAAATAACAATGTAAATGCTATTTGCGGTGCAGAAAGAGCTTTGGAAAACCCCAAGAAAATGTTCACCAATGTTTTTATTCATCAATTTTAATAATTCAAATAACAATCGAAATATAACTCGATTAATAAATAAAATAATTTAATAATACAATTTTCGATTTTTGATAATAAACATTTTTTTAATTCTAATTTGAAATTAAATTGATACAAAAAAATTTAATTGATAAACTATTGAATTAATAAAATAATATAATCAATTTCCAATAGCCTCCCAGAATTTAAACAAAGTATATCTACATAAGAGCAAATAAAAGCTATGGATTTCCACACAGTTATTTATTCTTACTTGTTTTTTATACGTACTAGTTCTTATTATTTCAAATTACGAACTCTCTCTCTCTCTCTCTCTCTCTCTCTCTCTCTCTCAGCGTGATAAAAATATATTTAGTAAATTGATTACTCGATCAAGAAATTTATAAATCTCTGAATTTTATCTATAATTTATTGTTAATTCAATTAAATATTAATATCAAATCACAAATTCCTGTCGATTGTCTGCGACATGAAATTTGTTAAAAATAAATTCAGTATAATAATAATAATTTTCTCTCATTTATATATATAGGTCACGTAGATTTCTTTTTCGGAACATTTACAGATTATAAATTTATTTTCCACATATCTTAAACCTATAAGTTTATAATCTCTTTTTGATCAGAACATTATAAACTTAATAAAGGGGATATCCAATAAGAATTCTAATCGAAGTATCTTATATTCTCTCTAAAATTGATCTACCGCTTTCTACAAATTATTATCTGGCTATAGGGGAATAAGTGAGAAAAGATTTAAGAACGTAGTCTCACACAGTCTGAGATTTACATTTCAGATAACAGAGTTTATTTAATAAAATAACAATCAAATACAATAAATCAACAATAAAAATATATTTCAAAATGATTTCCTCAAATGGAGGAGCTTCGTAAGTACATTATTATGCAGAATTGAAAAAGTTTAAAAGTAATTCGTTATCGTTACTGGTTACTCGTTATAAAGTAACTCGTTAGCAGTATCATTAAATCATGAGAGTATAAAGGTTTGATTAATCACAACATCAAATATAATACTCCCTGTTTTTAAAACTCGCTATGCACGTATTCCATACAAAATTGTTCAATTGGTTAAATTAATTTAGTTTGTCTTTATTTCTTTTGATAAAGAATGTATATATTTAAATCCAACATATAACATTTGATTTAAATATATAATTCTCCAACAAAAGAAATAAAGATGAACTTACTCTTTAAATTCTCTGGAATGGTATCTCACTCTAAAGAATGAAAATTCTGTCATTCTTGAAAAGGAGTGACAGATTCAATCTTTAACAATGAGATTTTAGCTTTTTAGAGCGGTGTTTTACAAAGAATCTAGAGAATCCATTAATTTTGTCAAATGAACAATTTTTTTCTTAGCGTACTTTACATATATAAAACAACGATAAAAATAACGATTACATACGTTCATCATTATCAAAAAAGTTGCATTACTATTACCATTACAAATAAAAAAAATATTATGCCGTTACCAACTCGTTACTAAAAAAAAAATAACTGTAACAATAACAGGAAATAAAAAAAATTGCTTCTCAATCGAAATTATTACAATTTTTTTTAAATACTTGGAAAAAATAGATATAAATGCAATCAAATTGTATTAATGTAAACGACTTAATTATCGTTTATCTCTTCGTTACGAAGCAATATTAGACTAAAACATCAGAGTTTGTTGTTTCTCTTACATAAAATTAGAATAGCGAATTCTAAATGTACTAGTGCACACTGATACGTATCAAAGTCATTGTACGTTGATTTAATCTGATAAAAGTGAAATACGAATATTTTGAATTATAAAATACCTACATATTTTACTTAACAGCAAAATATATATTGCATACTTTACGGTTTAATCCCTGTGTCTATATTATATTAAACATACATTTTCAATTTGTGTACAATGGTATTAATATGCTGCAGTGCGCACTGAGTGCATCCAATCGAATTCTATAAATCTTGAAGTATTTCACTTGAAATACTCTCTCTTCTAAAGAAAAGCTATTTCTAAAATTTTTTAGAACGACGAATCGTCGGCGTTTACTACAAAATATCTCGATTTTTTAATAAAAATATCTAACAATCTCACTATTTAATATTATGCGTATACTGTATAAGAACGATAAAATCTCTATATTAAATTTCTAGAAATAAGAATGCGTCGCAAAAATAACATAATATACACTGAAAGAAAAGATTAGCTGCTGCAGCCAATAAAAAATGCTATGCCATATTCAGCCAATCGTTTCTTTCAGTGTAACAATAAAATTGTCTTGTAAAACGTCGTAGTTGCGACGTAGACTAATTCAACTTTGGAAAACTGAGTATATAATTCGAGCTAGAGTTAAAAAGTTTTGATCTAATATGTATTTGTTTCAACTGCTAATGTGCTATCGT